GAACTGAGAGCAGCTTGCATGTTTTAGTGCCTTGGCATGCAGGATTTTCTTTGGTTAAAAAGGGCTTCCACCTCAAAGGTCAGTCTTCTTGGGTTCCTGACAGGGGGACCTAATCTAAATTGATCATATAATAATAATAAACCTGTAAAAACAGGCGTACTGTAATTAATCAGAAAAACAATTGGAGAGCTGCTCAGGATGCTGACCAGGGCTGTCCACAGTGATACTTTGGATGTAAATCAGGTGTGCCCACGCAATGTCGACACTGTGCCTTTTGCAGATCTGTGTTGGGTCTCATTCCCAACATGTTTTGTTTCAATTCGGTTTGATGGTACCATTTAACAAATTTCTCTCAGTCTGAGCCTGGCACGGCTCTTTGTGGCTAATGTGTAAAAAGTGGCAGTTTTAAAACTTGCCTTTCTGTGGTCTTTCTCAACAGCACAGTGCTTTTGGCAGAAATAGCTTGTGAGGGGTGCCCTGGACAGGTGGCTTGTGGCAGGAGCCACTTGTGATGAGTCTTGGAGCAGCAGGTAGTTCGTGACAGGAGCTAGAACTCTATTTTGCTCTTTTCCAGGTTCCATGAGTTTACAATAGATGTCAGAAATAAAACAACACACTACAAAACTTACAAAATTAGGTTACTGATATCAGTTATAAATTATTTTTGCCTTGTTTGTCTCACTTTAAATGGTATGTTTGTGTCTCCATGGTTACCTGTTGTCACCTTATTGTTCCATGAATGTGTTTTAGACAACCCATGTTTGTGTTACTCTTAGATATTCTAAAACTAAGGTATGTGTCCTCCCTCTCTTGTCGTTTTGTTTCTTGTATGTTACCTTGGACACCTGCTTGGTACATACGTACCTCTTTTGCTCCACAGGGTCAAGGCACTATAAATTTTGCTCCTGGAAGTTTCCAGTCGCTGCTACCAAACTAACTGTCCTTGTGTTTCCTCTTACCCTCTTTGTTTTCAACTCTACAGCTGATAAATTGTGACATCCCCCCTTATCCTCACTTGGGGGAGAGGGCATGTTTATGTTTTTTTCCACAGAATGCTGACAATACATGTTGGGTACCTGAATGCCTCATCCGCTTTACAACATCTCCAGACTCTATGCCACCTGTGTCATCACTACACCATCCATCATCACATCCTGTGTTCCCAATTTTTTGGATTGGGTTTTTGGACTTTGTTCGTGTTTCTTATGGACTGCTTCCACTGCCTGGCACCCACCGTTTTCTCTCGACTTTGCCTGTGATACTATGATTCTCTCCATGATTCATTAATTGTTCCACATGCTTTGTACACCGTTGTTTTAATCATTTATGTAATGCCCTTCCATGCTGTACACTGTTTGTCCCCTTAGGGTCCTTTTGTTTGCTTAGAGGGGGACTTAGGCTCTGCCTAACCTCAACACAGAGCACAGGTTGGGGTAAAAGTTAACACCTTCATTAAAAGTCAGATTGATGATCTTACAGCAAAGCCAATTCAAATACATTATCTCAGGCTTGCACTTAAAGATCGAGAAGAGCCTTATGAGCCTGAAAGGCCACATGACGACGTGTTTCAGTCGTCCCCTTGAGAGCTGAACCCGGGCAGCCAAAGCTGCTGTCTTAGCCTATGATGGGTATAAGCTTCAGTAGGAATTCTCCAACCTAAGGCAGGTACAGTTCCCTAAGGGATTGTTTTGGCTCATTTTCCTTCTTTTTAAAATATAAAAGAAAGGGGGATCTGTCGGGAGCCGTAGGCCCCTACCCCAGGAAATAGCAAGACCTGATTCCTGGCAAAGCTGTTTTTCAGACACCAAGGCTGGCCTGGTTTGAGATTAACCCGATGACTATACTTGAAAGCCTCTCACAAACATGTTGTTCTAACCTGGGCACTTAACGCTTGAGAGACTCCCTCATTTTCTCATGTAATTGCTAAGAAACTTTGGTATTACTCTGTAATCATACAAGTGTAACCTCTTAATTGATTTATAACTTGCTATATAGAATTGTGGTGTTACTATGGAATTTACTCTGTGATCAATTGGTGTGGTGTTATTGTGATAATCATTCTGTTAATTGAATTGCTCTACTTCAATGGATTTGTCCCTGCCAACTTCCCCCTCTCCTCACTATAAAAACTTTGTGTAGATGTTCATTAAATGAGACTTGATCAGAAAGCCTGTCTTGTCTCCATTCTTCGCATCTCTTGTCCCTTTCCGTCCCCTCTCCTCCCTCCAGATACCCACGTTGACTGTCCTACGGGTCGGGACATATCATGTGGCAGCCCATTTGCTTTTCAGGAGAAGCCTGAAGAGCTTTCTTTGGTGGCTTTGCCTTCAGTTAGGAAGGGACTTCACCCTGGGACGGGTCGGGACATATCATGTGGCAGCCCATTTGCTTTTCAGGAGAAGCCTGAAGAGCTTTCTTTGGTGGCTTTGCCTTCAGTTAGGAAGGGACTTCACCCTGGGCCAGAGCTGTCACACAGCCATGTGCTTACCTTGTCACCCTGAGATGTGCTGGCACCTTACCTTGCTACTCTGATCACAGTCAGGATGTTAATCAGAGGGAAATGGACATTGGGGAGCAATGTTAGCCATGCTGTCACCAACATCTGGATTATTTAAAATGAGGGCTATATGAGCACCAACTGTGTCAGTCTCAGGGGACAGCTGGGGCTCTGCATTTTAATGCACTGCTGAAAATATTCAGTGCACATGGTACCCTGAGGTCAATGTAGGTGGTACAGGAGCACTAGAAAACGTCTTCTTTAGTCTTGTGTAGGAGGCACACGTGTGAAATGACTGGAAGATTGCACTTCATTCTGTGTATATAGGCTACTTTGTGCTGCAGGTGATCAGAAAACACAACTCAAAAAGGCTTAAACACTAAGGAAGTTTATTATTGTCCTGTAAATCAGACAGGTTTTCAGATGGTAGACTTAGAAAAAAATTATCAGACTTTTTCCCTCCCTTTCCCGCCTCTCTACTCTGTTAATCACCTGTTCAGCTTTATTCTTGTTTCCAGTATCCCAGTAATCAGCACTGTACGTTTTCTCATATCCATTAGGATACCACACACACACACACACACACACACACACACACACACACACACAGCTACTAATTACTCTTTACATAAAAGGCTGGCCCGATAATACATTTAAAAATGTGCTTAGGATCACTCCTGCCCCTGGAAATGTCTATGCATTATGGACTCTTTTAGAAAGGGATACTTGTTCAAAGCCTGTCTCTACACTATTTAGTCAGAATCTATTTCAGAATTGTTTGGGTGTATATAATCCCTTTTCCTTGGGCTTTTCTTCAGCATTTTTATACTGACATCATTAGTGTGGGGAGAACAGATACAAACAAAATATCAAAACTTAAGTGCTTGAATGAGCAGTGAGAGGCAACCTTACCAGGGATGGGGAAAATGTGATGGATTTGACTTTGAATTTGCTAATTTAGTGTTCACTGGTCAATAAACATGACTGAAGTTTGAGTTATTAGTGTTGGCCAATGAGATTCTGAACTTCTGCCATAAAAACTGAAGCCAGATAATGCAGGGCAGGGTGTTCACTTGCAACCCCAGCTTCTTGGGAAGCTGTGGCAGGAGGAACAAGTTTGAGGTCAGCCTGGGCTACAAAGCAAGACAATACTGAAAACAAAAGACTTAACAACAAATACACCCAAACGGAAGTTGAAGACAGACTTTCCATGAAAGGGAAAGGCTAAAGTAAGCAAAGAGAAGCAGTGAGGTACCTAATCTCTAGGGAAATGACAGGCAGCAGAGCCAGGGAAGTCAGAAGACAAAAGCCCCCGTAGAAATGATTCTCTTGGTGTAAGGATGCATGACAGACAGCTGTCTATGACAGGAAGTCGGCCTTCCTCAGACCCAGGATCTACCACTGCCTGGTTCTTAGATGTCCCAACATGAAACAGAAATAATGTCCACTGCTTAAGCTGCTTAGTCTATGATCTTTGTCATAATTCAGACTAAGACCATGCCTTTTTTTGTTTTCTGAGACAGGGTGTTCTTGTAGCCACAGCCAGCCTAGAACTCACTATGCAGTCCAAGATGGCCTTGATCTCAGATCTGCCTGCCCTTGCCTCCCGAGTGCTAGGATTAAAGGCCTGGAAGGATACCTCTTTTTAAACCTGACTTAGTAGCACTGTATAGGCCTAAGAGAGACCATTGAGTTCAAAGGAGCAAAACCAAGATATCATTATTCTCAAGGTTCATACTTTTTAAAAGCTTCTTAATTTTGTGTTTGTGTGAGTGTATGCTATGTGTGTGGAATATGTGTTGTGTGTGCCTGAGAAGGCCAGTGGAGGGTTTCAGATCTCCTGGAGCTGGAGTTACAAGCAGCTGTGAGTCATCCAATGTCGATTCTGGGAACTGAACCCAAGTCCTCTACAAGAGCAGCCAGTGCTTTTAACTGTGGAGCTATCCCTCCGGCCCCAAGGTCCATATTTTCGCAGGCCAGCCAGCCATATCATTAAGACATTAGGTTAAGAGGTTGTAATCTGTCATGTTATTGCACTCTAGGATCCAAGCAGAAAAAAAAAGGAACAAAATGATCCAAGATGTCTGGAAAGCCTGTTCTTCCGTGGCTCCTCTGTTTCATATTAGCTTTCATCTATCTGTCCTTAGAGAAGCCTGCTTCCACACTTTAGGGCGTGAGTCTAATCTAGTACTTCAAGATGTGACAACACAATTCTATGATCCGGTTTCAACAGAGGATTTTATTTGTTGATCTGCAAAAAGCAAAGTTCAGAAAATGGCAGCCTATTGCTCGGACAGTTCAGTAATAAAATGTTCTCTATCGCCTCTCCTCTTTTCACAAGGTGTGTTCACAGGCACACATCATCAGAGAACAGACTGACATAGGGAAATGCCATGAGGTACATGCACCGCCTTGCTCACACCTTTGGATACATCTCCTTCTTCAGCAGGCAAAAGAAGCCTTTCACAGTCCCCATTTGACAGAAACTTACCACCCATTTTTTACAGCAAAATAGTTAAAGAACTCTCCTGCTGTCCTTACTTCAGCTATCTACTAAAAAAGCACAGAATTGAAAAGTTTTCTCCCCAAATGATTAAAAACACCAAGTATTAAAGAATACATGTTACTCTAAATTCCTGGGTTGTAGTCTTTAAGAGAAATTTAATTTCAAGTTCTACTGTTCACCAAAATGGGTAGCAGAAGATTCAATTTGGACAGCTATGAAAATTGATGACAGAGCAAATTAAGATTCCTTAACTATCATCTGATACTACCTTGTTGATGACAAACCCTGCAGAGACCCAATGAGATTTGACTCTCAAATAGAGAATCTATTTCAAAGAGAGTTAGTCACTAGGGTGCTGAGGACAGGAGAGAATGCTGGTGAAGGCACAGGCTAAAGAATCCCAAGAGATTTTGGTGCCATTTCCGTTTAATGAGCCAGTAGTAGTATAGTGACCCTACGACCCTGGCTGTCATCACACCAGGATGTTTCTATGGAACTACTGCAAGGAAACATGACTAGCAGCTGATATCCTTAGGTTCACAGTGCTGAGTGAGCAGCTGCAGCCCCAACTACCGCACACAGACTTAAGGCTGGGGAGTATAGCGAAGGTATTTTTTGCCAGATGGGAGCTCTTTAGTGAAGACTCCTTTAGGGAAGAGTTGTTTGGCTTCCTCTTCAGGGATGGTTGGAACGACCATCACACTATCTCCATCCTATTGGAAAACATTGAGAACGGTCAAGTTCAATCTTACAGTTATGTTTAAAAGGTCTTTAAGAATAACTACAGAAAAGTAGTGGAGGTGCTAATGAGAATTAGATCCTCTTTACTCTCTCCTCTTTGAGGGACTTAGTTACACAAACTGATTTTTGATGTGTTTGCTAATAAAGTATTTCTTCATCTTAACTAGAAATGGTCCTGTTTTAAACCCAGCGATGGCTGGCCATCACATCTTAAAGTTCAATTCTAAATCTGTCCTTATAGGATTTATGCTGGCTAGCCTCCTCTCTTTTCCCTCATCCGACTTCCTGAAAACTTAAATGATTTGCCTGTCAGAAATAAACAACAAAACTTGGTATTCAGGTTAGCATACTTAAAAGCACGAAGCAACACTAAGATACTCCTGGTATATTATCTTGTCCTATTTATTCACAGAAGTCTTTATGAACGTGGTGGTGCATGCCTATAATCCTAGCACTCAGAAGTCCGAAGCAGGAGTAAGAGTTCAAAGCCAGCCTAGGCTAAATACTAAGAGCCTATCTCAAAAAAACAAAGCGGGGCAGGGTGTGTGTGTGTGTTGGAGAGATGGCTCAGTGGTTAAGAGCACTGGCTGCTCTTGCAGAGGACCCAGTTTTGGTTCCCAGCACCCACAGAGCAGGTAACAATCAACCTTAACTCCAGCTCCAGGGGATCTGGCACCCTCTTCTGGCCTCTTTGGGCACTGCATGACATGGGTGCATCTATGTACATGCAGGAGAAACACTCATACACATTAAATAAAAATAAATAAAAACTGCTGAGCCTAGTGGTGGACACCTTCAAACCCAGCACTCGGGAGGCAGAGGCAGGCAGATCTTTGTGAGTTCAAGGCCAGCCTGGTCTACATAGTGAGTTCCAGGCCAGTGGGGGCTATAGGAAGACCCTGTTTCAAAAGGACCAAAATAAATAAATAAAAATTTAAAAAAAGAAAAAAGAAAGGGACTAGGGCTGTATCTCAGTAGAGTGCATGCCTACTACCATGCACAAAGTCCTGGGTTCAGTCTCCCGCACCTCATAAAACCAGCAGACTGAAATCCTACCACTTGAGAGTAGGGGCAGAAGAATCAAAGGTTCAAAGTCATTCTTGGCTACATGGTGAATCTGAGGCCAGCCTGGTTTACATGAGACTCTGTCTTAAAATACATAGTTTCTGAACAAATTTCAAAGACTTCTACATATGTTTATAAGGCTGAAGCTTAGGAGAAATGATTGAATATTAATATACCAACAGTTTCAAAGCCATCATATAAGTGAAGCTGTCAGTCAAGTTTTGCTTACTTCCTGGTTTTTTAGACGGGACCTTGCTATGTAGCCCAAGTTGAGTTTGAACTTGTGATTCTCTGGCCTCTGCCTCTGGAGTGCTGGGACCACAGGCAGGCTCCACCATGCCCATCTCCAACAAGGTTTTGCTGTATTTTGCTTATTAGGCAATACTATGGTTAGTTTTTTTAAACTTTATACTAAGAGTTTGTGTTTTATATACACAATGTCAATGATCTCTTGGCCAATTTGAAACTCAGCTATGAGGACAACTCCTCCTGATATACTGGGACAATGGAAATAGGGTCCTAGGAAACCCAGATTCTGAAAGCAGCCATTTAGAGACTTTGGGCTTTCCAGGCATCTAAGTACCTTCCAATCCACTGGGGTGGCCACCTTTTTTTCTGCTGTCAGCTGCAGAGACTTAATTACTCTGAGAATCTCATCAAAGTTCCTGCCAGTGGTAGCTGGGTAGAGGATAGACAGCTTCAGTTTCTTATCAGGACCAAAAACAAACACCTGCAGAAGACACACAGACATGCACAGGAGTTCTTCAGTGTTTCTGATAGTAAAGCAGCTGTCCAGCATTTGGGTTCATAACCAGCTGAGTTCTTCAGTGTTTCTGATAGTAAAGCAGCTGTCCAGCATTTGGGTTCATAACCAGCTGCCTCACTTCCCTATATTTCAAAGAAATTAGGAAACAGAAATGGTAAAGGAAAATGAGTTTAATTATAGTTTGGCCAAACAAGGGAGAGAAAAACTCCTAGTTACTTACCACCTTTCCTATAACAATTAAAAAAAATTATGTATGGGAGGGGAGGGGTTGCACACATACATCATGGCTTGCTTGTGGAGGTGAGAGGACAACTTGTAGGAGTCAGTTCTCTACTGTGTGCATTTTGTGGATGGAATTCAGCAGCAAGGGTCCTTACCTGCTGGGCCATCTTACAGGCCTCAGTGTTACAATGTTACAGAAAAGATGAAACAAAGCCATAAGATACACATGTTGATTTATTGTGAGGTCAGCTGTGTAACTGGGGTGATCTCTTCCTCAGGAAGAGATTTCTTCTTTTGGTGCTAAGGCTTTAGCCTTTCCTTCCCCAACATGGGATTCCTGGGTGACTTTAATTCTTTGGGGTTTATGGTTTTAGAGTTCCTATTTCAAAGCCACCTAGAAAACTCTGCAGTTGTTAACAGTGTTTGAAGATGTAAAGACAAAACTGGAAATCAAACAGCAGGAGGAGATAAACAAACTGGATCAGGGTGCCTGGGACACAGATTACTTTCCATGTTATCTTCAAAACTAACAGGTTTTTGCTGTCACAGCAAGGAAAAATTACAATGCAAATTTCTTAGGAATAGAGTCCCCAGGTAGGTACTAGGTAAACTAAGGATGATAATCATGAAAGTATTATTAATGTGAGTTGATAATGGACATGAAATAGTTGCGCATTTATGGAGATGAGGGATAGTTTGTTCCTCAGTGAGTAAAGGACGGAACACGTAAGTTCAGAATTGTCTTGTAAAGGACAGCTGATAGGAGATGCACAGAAAAGATTTAACTTTAGATAACATTTTAGGATGAACTACTTATATCAGTGTAGATATTCAACAGCTATGAATGAAACAGTTTGAAAATTTAGCTGAGTATTTCAGCTACACTGCATCAACATTATAGATAATCAAGGACATAGTCACTGGCATATAGCTATTTCATAACTGTAGATGATATAGAACTTTATTCCCTTGAGTTGCTCAAACATTCACATGGATAGGCTGACTGCTCGTGCTGAGTGTTAAGTGGACTGTTGACTCACCACACGGGCTGTCACGGGCATGCCCTTCTCGTCCTTCTCTGCTGGGTCCAACATGCCCAACTGGATGGCAAGGTCCCTGTTCTTATCATCGATGATGGGAAATGGCAACTTCTCTGTGGGCTCATCACCATTGTAAGCATTGATATCCTACAATGGAGGAGAAAGGGGAAAGAGAATTTTAAACCTCTGCATTTCATTAATTAATAGTTATCACTTTGCAACACAAAGAGCTGTCATTGTAATAATATTCTCTGAGAAATTTTAATAATGAGATGAACAGACAGTTCTCACCCCAATTATTCACTGACAGGAGTATCAGCAGAGTACAGCACTCACAGACCAAAGCCCTTTTCGCACCCAACTTTCTTAAATTAACAGGATTGCTGAGTGATGAAGGGCTTCAAGAAAGGGGTAGAACTTCTGCCTGAGCCTTTGAAAGATGGGCAAGATTTTTCACTTGGAAAAGAAAGGCATTCTTGGGGGGTGGGGGTGCGTGTGCTATTTTAAGGAGACATATAGGCAAGTGTATGAGTAACCACTGTAGGAAAGTGAGGGAGTTAACTGGGTGATTTTAGGAAGAATTGGGAAAGTGGACTTAGAAAAGGGTGTATTATTCCTATGAAGCCATTAAAGTAAAAGAAGATGTTGAATGCTTCAGCAGATTTCAAACCCTTTTATATTTCTTCACAAAGATGAGAAAAAGTGACATCAATGGATAACAACAGATTTTATCATATTCCTCAATTTTATTATCTAAACTTTCCTCCTGTTTTCTGTCACTGGCTGCCTATCAACTCATCACAACTAAATAATAACCAATATGGTTTCATGCCAGGCAAATCTTGAGTTGGACACAATCAGTTATACGTCAAAGCTGGTTACTGCTTCTGGTAGTTTGGATTTGTTTCCTATTTAAGACAATCACTATTTTGAAAACTTCTAAGGCAGATACATGAACCTGGGTATGCGCCTATACTTTAAAGGTATTAATGTGATGGATTCTAAACTCTTCTTCTGGCAACTCGTGTTTTAATATTAATACAGATTAATTCTCTACCCAGTGACTTACTTAATAAGCAGCACATAACACTCAAGGACACCAAAGAACCACATTATTTTGATATTTTATCCCAAATCAGGACAAATTCACTCTTTTACCATCTAGCATGGAAAAGAACATTGGTCTGAGGCTCAAATCATACTGACACCCCTTTCTAATTGGGTAATCTTGAGTAAGTCACTCTCATACTTTCACAAAAATGGGGATCATATAGCTATACCTTAAAGGGTTTTTGCCAACATCTAATGAGAAACTATCTGTGAAAAGCTGTGGAAATGCTGGTTACTATTCACTTCCAGGGTGTGCAGAATGAAAAAAATCCAACTCAAGAGAGACATTCAGGATTAACTGGTCTGAAACAGCCATGGTGAGTAGCCTCTCCATTTCACACACTGGCATGCCATCTTTTATTCAGTTGCATGTGACTGACAGTGCCTAGCACTTGCACACAAAAGGTAGTTACTTAGTAGTAGATTGTAGCCGAGTCTGTATTTTCATGTTTAGTTTACATTACCAAATTTATTATCTAATTAAATGCTTCGGTTGGAAGCAGACAAATTAATTAATTAATTAATTAATTAATTCAACAAATACTGTCTGTCTACACTGAGCACTGTTGTAGAAATGAACTGGAGTCTACCTCTGCTGGTCTACTCTCCAACTGGAAGAAACTGACTAAATAAGCAATATGCAGAGACAAGGGCTAAGTAGGACATGGGGAGTATGATAGGGTGTTAGATGTACCACACAGAAGGATGGACATAGTCTACAGAGTGTCAATTAGTGTATGCAGAAACCAGACATGTGGTGAAAAACCAAGGGACATTAAGAATAGCTCCTGCAGTTTTGGCCTATACTGTCATAAGCTGCGATGAGTAAGACTCTGGGATGAAGAATAAGGTTCAATTTTTCATAAGACATGCTAGATTCAAGATGTCTGCATATCCCAAGGGAGATACTGAGTAGGCAGGGTTTTACCAACTGGAGGCTAGAGAGCTTTGATGTAGAGAGGGAATCTGAGAAGCATAGCACGTGGCTGTTATTTGTAGATGTGAGTAGAAAAGCTCACCAAGATGAAGAGTACAGATGGTAAAGAGAAGCGGTCTATGAGATAAGCGTAGGACTTCAGCACAAACTAGGAACTGGGAGATGATGAAAAGTAAATCTTAGCCCGGCAGCTGGAGAACAGAAGCAGTATTTAAGAGTGATCAGTTAGGCCTAATGTTGCTGGTAAACCAAAAAAGGTGACTGAGAAGCCATCACTGGATATAGCAATGCAGAGATCACTACCAAGTTGAAGTCAGATTTTCAGTTAACCAGTGAACTCTGACCCTAAGGTCTGTATACACCTTTATCTCAGAAACCAAGTTATACTCTATGTAATTAAGATATAACTTCAGAATCAAAGCACATGCCAATTGATAACTTCTGATACAGAGGGGGGAAAGTGGTGTTTTTCTCCCCCTATTCTCCTGCCAAACAATCAACACAAAGACTTCAGTCACCTTTTTAGTTATCAAGAAGTGTATGGACATTTCTCCTTTCCAACAACTAACCGGTTCTATAACATATACCAGTGAGTGTCCTCCATTTAACTCAATTTGGACACTGTCTACCTGGAGGATAGCATTAACTCACAAGGTTACCCCAAATTCTGATAACAATCACAAGCCCCAGGTTGTGCTTTTGACTAATGGGCTATAAATTTGAGGTCCTATGATCCTCTCTTTGGGACTTATTAATGTGTTTGCTAGAGGAGCTCACAGAATTCAGGGAAATGAATTTTATAAAGGACATAGATGAACAGATGTGCAGACTACAGTAAGGAACTTCCCTGTCCGCCTCCAAGTACACCACTCTCCGGGAAATCTATGTGTTTAGCTATCTAAAAGGTCACGGAGCTCAACCTTTTTGTATTCTCATGGAAACTTCATTACATAGGCATGACTGGTTAAATCATCAGTCACTGATGCTCAGTTCAACTTTCAGCCTCTTTTCCCCATGTATTGGATAGGGATTAAAGTCCCAACTCTCTAATCTTGCCTGGCTTTATTCAAAGACCAGCCCCTCAAACCAAAGCTATGTAGGGGGCTGCAGGCCACCAGTCAAATATTAGTATATATTAAAAAAAAAAATCACTATTCCTAGGAAGATATTAAGTCCATTAGGCATTGTATGGGAGGCAGCAGAAAGGATACATACATTTATTTCACACATCACAGAACTGTACCTTGCTCCAGGCAAGATGGTCCTCAACACTGTCTATTGAAAGGGCAATCAATTTAACATTCCTCTTGGCAAACTCTGGTGCCAGCTTTGCCGCTCTGCCAAGCTCTGTGGTACACACTGGTGTAAAGTCCCGTGGGTGAGAGAAGAGAATGCCCCATCTGGAATGAAGAAGATCACAACTGAATGAACTGTTATCAGCATCATGAAGAAAGGATACAATGTCTGCATTCAAAATAGGCTTGCTTTCTTAAAATGTCTGCTTAATGAAGACTTTTAAACTCTTCAGTTGAGAAATACTTTCCAACCTTGCCTCCAGAGAAGCCAAAGTTGACAGTTCAGTGTAATCAAATGCATAAAATTCATTATGATGTTTCAAAAACACTTATTTTAGGGTGTTGCATACCTTAAAGCTATGGAAACACCTGACTCCTTTTCAGCCAAATAAAATTTGTGTAACTTAAGCCAAGTACTCTATTGAAATACTTTTTACTCTTTCCTTCATTTTTTATTTTATTTTTCTTTTGTGTACATGAGTATTTTGCCCATAATGGGTATTATTTTTATTGTATGTGTATGAGTGTTTTCCCTGCCTGTGTCATGCAAGGCCCATGGAGGCAAGAAGAGGGTACTGAATCCCCTGGAACTGGAGCTATGGAAAGCTGTTAGTCATCATGTAGGAACTGAACCTGGGTCCTCTGCAAGAGGCCAGTGCTCTTAACCACTGAGCCATCTCTCCAGTTTAGCAGAGGAAGGCAGCCTCAATTTAATGGCTTTTGAAGGAAAGTGACCTTTCTTCATTTTTTTCCCCCCTAGCATAGACCTTGATATTCAGCTGCTACTATGCCCCAAATCCAAACAGATGGCTGACTGCAATAATAAACAGATTATATAACCTGAACCAGAGAGGCTTCTATCTTCTATTTAGAAGTAAAATTTAGACTGACCCTTGGCTTCACTGATCTAACCTGCTAAACAAGGCATTAGTATTTGCACTGTGACAAAATAACAGCATTTTACCAGTTTTATCTATCATGTCTTCAACTGTAATTTTTTTCTTCCTGTTTCAGACCAAGTAGGGAGAAAACAGTCATGCTACAATACAGATTTCTACAACTACAAGGAATTACTACCAAGTTATCCTTGTCTAAGGTTAAACATGTATAGATTTTGAAGATGGCTCAAACTGAGTTAACAAGAAACTTTGCAGCATCATTTCCTTCTCCTTGGCAACAGAAACTATTCTTTCAAGTGAAAAGGAAAACTTAACACTCAGTTCTCTTCACTCCCACTGATTTAAGTCATGCAGGGGCAACGTCTTAGTCTAGCAGATTACTCAATCTGGCCTAGATGCTTAGTGCTTGGCAGTTTTCCCTGAGCACAGAAAACAAAGCAGACAAGACTACTTTGCCTTCCCACCTACACCTGCCACTCAGCTCCCAGAACAAGACCTTCTTATAAAAAGCGTGGAAGGCCCTATGATAAGACTGAAAACAGATAATACTTCTGAAGTGTGTGGTATGTTTAGTTTCTTATAAAGTGCATATCTCAAAATTTAAACTAGCTGTGACATTTAGGCCTTAGATTCTATGGAAAAGGACTAGGCATAGGTCAGGTAAGAAAGACAAGAGAAAGGCTTGAGAAGTTGCAGAAACAAACAGAACAGGGCATTTCTTTATGTCAGTCAAGATGGTGATGAATTACAGGTCTTTTTCTATTGTGAGGCAAGTGTTTTGCTGAGTCATGCTGGAGAACTGGTTTGAAACCACTTCATAAGCTCCCCTCCTTCAGAAGCCAAGCTCCAGTTTACCAGAAGGCTATTCCAAGAGTTCTCACCCTGGCCTGCCTTCCCTACTCTTAAGAGTAATTCAAAACATTAACCCATTTCCTTCCTCATTTTCAAAAGACAAAAATGGTTTCCTCCTAAGAAAATGGTGTCTCCGACTACCACCAGAAAACCTCTGCTAAAGGTGCTTTATTTGGTGATGATGTACTACAAAGAAACTGCCTCTACCACAGAGACAGTATAAAGTTACATAAACTCATCACATGCAGCACCCAAACTGTTTATTTCCAATTGTCAGGGGTAGGGCAGATACCCATAATGCTTGAAGTTCATTTTTTCTCCAAATGATATTTGGGTTTGTAATTGACAAGTCTGCTTATATATAGAATGCAGTTTGGAAAAACCAGCAGAGTCTATATATTATAATGATACATAGGAAGGCAACTTTCTCCAGTAGGGCAGGTAGTATCATGCCTGACCCTAAGCAGACTTATACCTTGTTTATAGAGCTATAGATTTTTTTTTTTTAAACCTTCCTACTGGTAGCTTTTTCAGAAGAAGTCTCCTTTATTTATTTACTGAGTTTTTATTTTGAGACAGGGTCTCATTACCTTGGCTGGCCTTGAACTTACTCTGAAACGCAGACAGGCCCTGAACTTAGGATCCTCCTGCCTCAGCCTCCTAAGTGCTTGGAATAACAGGCCTACATCACCAGACTCAGCTAATAGGTCAACACTTTTAATCAAATCTAAATAGAACCAGGTCAATAAATTACAAAGACCCTCCCACCCCCAGGTATGGTTTGCTTAAGTAGCATTTATAATTGTTATAAAAGTAAGAACCTTTACTGTAAATGTAAAGGTTAATATTTATCTCTAATTTGTACAAGTGAAGAATTCAGGCAAGGTTTCACTTTTCATAGAGCTGAGAGCTGTATATAGAAAGAAATGGGAAGGAACACTGTATAAACCTATGCAGTTTTGGAGAACTACTTAACAGCTAGTTTCTGAGTATGAGATTGGCCTTAATGCCTATTTTTAGTCTTCCTGCCTACAAGGTGTGAAAGTGCCACTTGCTACTCTTTTTCTAGCCTCTCTTTCACAAAGCTCTATTTTTCTTTAGTCAGCAGTTGGAAAATGGATGTGTAAGAATCTCTTCTTGATTATCTAATACTGCCCTGCCCAATCACTGATCACTTTCATAAGCCGTTGGGTCTCTCTACAAACATATGCCTGGTTACTGGACACAAACTCAAGAGTTCAACTGTCCAGCCTGGAGGCGGCACAGTTTAATTGGTGCCAACCAAACTCCAGAACTGTAATGGAATCGGCCAGGTCTGCAGTGCTGACTGAAACTAATCAACTTACAGTTTATGCATTCAGAAGCTGAGACACTAAGATCACTTCGTTTACTTCTGGTCATGATCACCAATGTGGCTATCAGCAGCAAGGCCATGCACTGGACAAGATGGAGGGGGGAGGGTCCACTGCGAAACAAAAGAGTCTCAAAGCAAGGAGGTACACGTGTCCCGGGCTGAGAACTGCCTAGGACAAAGATAGGTCATAGCCGCTCAACAACCCTTCCCTTAAACTGTTGCAAGCTCTGGAATGAAGGGCACAACTACACAGAATGTTCTTGTTCGCTTCAAAAGTTGTTATACAAAAATCTGAGCCACTGAAGGAAGCTCTAGACAAAAAGTCTTCTGGCTACTTCTCACTTGGCAGCTGGTGGTTTTTTACATTTTGTGTCCAGAAGTCTGCAAATACCACTCCCGGAAGCAAGCAAACCTCAGGTAACAAACGCTGGGCCGGTCCCCCTAACTAGTGACTGTCTTCTGACTTTGGTCTCAGGCATCCACCTTCCCCAGGGTGCAAAGTCCAGAACTTCGGGGAGGGAGGGCAGTGCGAACCCGGGACGTCCCGGGAAGTGACAGCTAACACCGCACGGCCCCGCCCCACCACTCTAAGGCCTCCGCCGGACCTCTCCCTCACGCCAGCCCCGCCATGGCCAGGGCCGGGAAGGGATCGGGTGACCTGCGCAGGGCGGGCCGGAGGTCGCGGGTCCCCAGCAACGCTTGGCGATGCCCGGGCGGCCCCAGCTTCAGGCAAGTGCGGGAACCGGTTGAGAGGAGGAGCCGGCGGCGCCGGGGCCGAGCCCCAGCAGCGCGGAAAGGAGAACCAGGGCAGACGCCGCCCAGTCTCCGCCGCCAGGCAGCGCGACGCGGCGGCCACTTACGAGTCTCCCAGAAAGTCGTGGAAGCGGATGGGGCCGACGGTGGTATAGGCCTCGAAGTTGGGGGCTATGTCCCCGAGAAGCAGCCCACCCGGCATGGCGGCAGCGGTGACGCGCGGGACCAGGAGGCGCAGCCGTAGTAGCTAGCAGCAGTCGGGGGCTAGCGCAGTGAAACCTACACGAGAGCTCACCGGAGTGGGCGGCCCGGGGGCGGGGCTTGTTGGCAGTGGGCGGTGCTTGTTGAGGAGCCGCGCCCCCACTTGGGGATCATGCCAGCGCTGCGTGGAGCCGAACTGAGGAAAGTGGTTCCCAGAGGTCTGACCATGCAGGGCGGGATTTAGGGGCGAAAGGAAGCCGTGTGCAGTAGAAGGGGAGCTTAAAGCCGAGAATCGTGGGGCCTAGCAGGCTCTGGCGCCTGTGCAAAGCTGCTCTGGGAGATGTTCCGATCCACCCCGACCCTCCTGCATATCCACTTCCTAGTGACGGCCGACTGAGAATTCTGGTAGTACCCCTCTTTTACTGTGAGCATTTGTAATGCTAAGTACCCTAGGATGTGGTAAGACTCAGATGCGTGTGGGGATGAAAGAGGAAGTGGCTTTCTTATTGCAGCAAAAATTCTGTACCAATGTCAGTGTGAGGGTAATGGAACTAAACTTTTTTCTTTTTTTCCTCCCTGGAGTTCATTATGAACTATATTCAACACATTTATCCCAAAGTTTAAATACAGATTTCACAAGGTACCTCCCTGAGATCAACCCGGTTCAAGTCATTTATTTCCTATGTCTCAAGCCCAAAGTAGATAGGATGCCTGTTCTCTTAGAGCATACCTTCTCCTCGGGGAGACGGGTAAGTGTACACACAAATAAGAATATGTGAGAAGTGGCTTGGTGATGTCAGGCCTGAAATCCTAACTACTTGGAAAAAAGGATACAAATTCCAAGCCTGCCTTGAACTACCCAGGGAGTTCCAGGCCAGCCTGAGCAGCTTAGTGAGACTCCTTCTCAAAACAAAAAGTGAAGGAGGGGCTGGGGAAGTAGCTTTGTGGTTGTGGTAGAGTGCTCACCTAGCATGTGGGAGGCCTTAGGTTCAATCACCAGCACTGGAGTGTGGTGGGGAAGAATGTAGTAGAAAGCCACAAGTCCTATTTGGAGAAACAAAAGTAAGGTTATGCAAGTTAAGTAAGGTTAAGTACGAATGACTGGAGATCTGCTTCAGACTGTGTGGTCCAGTGTGGGAACGCCTATAGGATAATATATAATAAGTAAACTACTTAACACATGGCAAGTACTCTGGAAATGGTAGCTGTTATATAGATGATGATAATGATTCACTCAATAACTCTTACTTTCCCTGTTGCTAGACAGACACCATGCCAGGCCTGATCATAGACTGGAGAGAGACAGTCCCTGTTCTTAGAGGGAAGGTAGATTACATGCAGTTATGATATCATGTGGGGTCATAGAGAGAGGGTGGTTGCAAATGGAATACAGAGGGAGTAGAGTCTGCAGATTTAAAGGAAGTATATGACAGTGACTCACCATGACCTGAGTTTTCATCACAGTGATGTGCTCTGTATGTGTGTGTCTGCATGCATGCTGGTCATATTTAACCACTTCACTACACAAAGATTTGCAGTGAGGTTTCTGGCAAAATTTCTAGAGAACTCTTTAAAGCTAATAAGAGTTAATCTCTAACTTGTCTCCAAGCTTTGGTTTTGGAAGCATATATCTGAAGTCTTTTAATAGGTGAGAAAAAAGAACTGGGGAAGAAGAATAGTTTGACCCTAAGGCACTATTAACAATGTGTTGCAGAGATGGGCTAGAAAACAAGACACACCATAATATAAAGAATGAATGCAGAAACAAATTATTGATTGCTATCAAAGGCATGATTAGATAGCTGCCTGTTGTAAGTTAAACAAATACAATAAGATAAACACCTATTTGAACTTACAGTACCAGAAGCTATATACTAGCAATGGTCTTGCTAATTGTTTTCTTTAGCCTTTGCAAAACTTTAAATTCTTTAAAAATCTCTTAAGTTCTTTTAAATATTTTAAATCTGACCTTTTAACAACACTTTTTTTTTTTTTTTTTTAAACAAAACCACCTGGATTTCTTTCTTGTAAAAGGTCAGAAATCTAGCAAGGCCCTGTTCCATTTTGCAAACAGTGATTGGAGAATAGCTTTTTCTTTTTCCTCTAATTTTTTTCTTTTCATTTTTTTTGAGACTGTGTTTCTATGTGTAGTTCTGGATAGCCTGGAAGTCACAGGAATCCTCCTGTTCTGCTTTCATAAATAGCCTCCTTAGGCGTTTGTGTAAGGGCTGGAGAAATGATTCAGTGGTTAAGAGCATTGGTTTGACACCCAGCACCCACATCAGGTCACTCACAACCACCTGTAACTCCAGTTCCAGGGGATCCAACACCTTCTTCTGGCCTCTGTGGGTATTATACACATGAGTGCACTTACATACATGCAAGGAAAAATACCATGTACATAAAAATAAACTAAAAATTTAAAAAGTTTGTGTGGGCTGAAGAGATGGCTCAACAGCTAAGAGCACTGCCTCATCTTGGAGAGGACCCAGGTTTAGTTCCCAGTTCTCACATTGCAGGTAACAACTGTTCGTAACTCCAGTTCCAGGGGCTTCAACACCCTCTTCTGACCTCTGCCAGCATTGCATAACACAGTGTACTTATGTACATATGGGCAATGCACTCAAACACATAAAAATAATAAAAAAGACAGAGTGTTACCTATAATTACAAATGTTCTCTATCACTTGCTGATGCTAGAGCAGAATTAGGAGGAAAATTAAATAGTTTTTGCTTTCCTGTCTGTCAAATTGTGAAAATTAAAGGTAAAGGGCCAATTGTTTCAAGGCAAAAATCTAATATGACATATTTCTTTGTAAAAGTAAAGACTATTCTCATGAATTTAACATGTAAATAAAGTTGGAAGAATACTGTGCTGCTTGGCCCTTGTGGGTAATTGAGTTTTACCTTGGTCTATGTAAAAGTATATGCTTTGTGGCTCAAGGTCATTCCAAGAGGGAAAATTTAAGGCAATTTTCTCAAGGGCTAGTGAGAAGCACAATGAGAATGGAGGGAAGGAAGAGCTGTGGGTGAAGCATCCCACTGAGGGGTGAGCATATGAAAAAGGGAGAGCTAGGCTAAGGGAAGTATTTACTGTGAAGGAAAGAATGCTCTCATATCAGGGGCAAAAATGCTGTCAAGCAACCTAATGGTTGGAGAGATCGCTATAGCCCTTAGGGTAATCTCCCAAGGGATTAAAAAGAAGGGAGTGCAGAACTTTCCAGAGGGCTGGGGCTCCTAGGTGATTCACATAGTCTCTCTGTTCTAAAATAATAACTTCAAACAGATTGATGAAAAGGTGAAGGGCTGATGATGGCTATTTGGAAGAATAATCGTGAAGTATGATGTCTGTCTGTCTCTGTGTATGAAGTCTGTATCTGAGAATAGAAGGGGACTATTGGGAGGGGGAAGGGGGCCAGCAGGAGGGGAGCAGAGGGATGAGAGAGGAGAGGGGGGAAGGAAGGTCAGCGAAGGCAAATATATATATGAAAAGACCATAATGGAACCCATTGCTTTGTATACTAATGAAACAAACCTCATAACTTGTTTAAAGTAGATGTATATTTACCAAAAGATTATATTAGACTATTTCTAGGAACAATGTCAAAGAAACAAAAAAACTGCATCACCCCATTCATGTTACAAAGGAAATAAATTGTGGCTAACCATGTGATGAGCTATTAAATAGCAAGCAGAATGGAGCTTCTGCAACTACACACAGAAGCGCGGACCAATCTCACACATATGAAGAAGTGGACGTACTGCTGGTCCTGTGATATAAACTGCAAAGGGAGCCAGAATTAATGAGTGTGGCTGGAAGTCAGTACATGGGTGTGTGGGTGTGTGGGCTGGCACTGGGAAGAGTGGGAAGGGCAGAAGGGAAGGAACCCGTGGAAGGAGTGTTTTGTATCTCAGTGCTCACCAACCACCTGTTGACAACTTAGTTTTCATAGCTTTTCCTATTTAAAAGTTCTTCCTGGTCTGAACATATCTTCCTGCTTCCACTCATGTTTCTGTCATCCCTCTGTCATCCCTCAAAACTCTTCTTGCTAAATGCAGTGGATGCTTTTCCTCACTTTCTATACATTGAGTAGAGTGATTTTTTTTTTTTTAAATTTTGAAACACTTCTTTCTGTGCTTTTCCCCCTCCTTCCTTGATGGCTGTTCTGTCTCATCCCTTCTCTTTCAAGGCTTGGTTCTTCTCAGAGCACATTAATTTTTGAATCTTAGTCTCCCTATAGTTGATATCACCTAGTCTTTTGGCTTTAAATTGCATCTATATATCGAGGATGTCTATCTTTATCTTCAGACAAGCTCAAGATTTATAGCACCATCTGCCCATTTGACATCTTAATCTGAATGTACCACTGACATTTGAAATATGCCCAAGATATAATTCTTAATTCTCTCTCTTCCTCACTACCACAAACTTATTTCAGCTACACTGTACCAGTGACTTTTCCTTCAAAGCATTGTACCTTGTAGTTCACCTTTATTTCACTCTTAGCCTCTTCACTGAGGTATGCTATTGTTTTCATTTTCTCTGAGCTCCAAACCTACCTTTCATTGTCCTACTTTGTAAGACTCCAGTTGTATCATACACGCACTCCCCACCCCTGCTCTTATAGTTGTACATTAAGGACTGTCAGTTAGAGCACAGGGTATGCTGAAAGGGATTATCAAGACTAGAGAATGAAGAAAGGACTTGCCTTATTCCTGTTCGATTTTCCCTCTTCATATCACAATGGATCAGCCCACTACTGGCCTTGATGAGACAGATCATGAGGACTCAGCTGTCCCTAAGGGTATTTGGCTGGGAGTTGAGCACTGTTAAATATTGTTCAGGACATTAATGTCATGATGTCATGGGAGGTCTTTATTGTTAGTATATTTAATATTTATTCTTTGAATAAGCTGTCAGGAGTCAGTCATTTGACCCTTTGATTGACAGCTGTCAGACCCTTCCCTGTGCCTAGCTACCCTGGGCCCCCACTATCAACCAAACAGCCATACTTTCGTTATTGAATAATTTGTGGATACCCTGAAAAAATCCACACCAGCCTTGAAAACTGGTGCCCTATGGCTTCCACAAAAGACAACTGCTTTAG